GGTCTTCTGCTGCTTATGCCACAAACTAGTCCATTGCTGATCACCTTTTGTAATTAACACACCTTAAAAGTAGGAAATGTGTTTGTGTGTGTGTTCACATCCCACTTCCCTGGGGAACGGGAGCAGAGGGTGGCTCATGCCAGAGCCAGAAAGACATGCCAAGTGGCATCTTGGCAAGAGAGTTAAAACCAAAGACAATAAAAAAAGTTGCTTAAAGATTTTGGGAATTTATTTTTTTTTTAAGGAACCTGATAAGCTTTGTTCATACGGACTGGGAAACACCAAAAAGCCCTACAAAAGCAGGTGGCAGCCCGTGGTGTCCAGGCAGCCATCTTCAGCTTCCCCATCGGATGGTGGGGAGCCCAAGGCACCCATCTCTGCTTCAGTGCACCACCAGCACGAAGCATGACAGGGACCAGGGCAAGGTGATGCTATAGTACCAGCTGAACCCCCTCCTCCATGGACAGCACTAAATCCCACAAACATCCTGTGTCACCAAGGCAGGAGCCATCCAGGAGGCACTCGTGGGTTAGGACTTTACTTCAAAGATGCCCCCAGCTGCTCTACTCTGCCTAGGTGGCCAAATCGGTGTTCCTGGTGCTCTGGAAAATGGTATTTGCAGCGTTCAATGAAGTGGTCTGTCCTGTGGAGCCTGCTGCAGCCACAGCCCTGCGTGTCCCTGGCCATACCTGTGCATCCCCTCCAAACTAGAGGCACCTGGAGCATCTGGGGAAGGTTTGAAAGCCCCACCACCCCTTGTGCTGCAAGGCTATCATACCAGTGGCATGAGGAGGGACAGTGTGGGGCTTCTCCCCCTACGAGTCTTTCCCTGTTGCTATTCCCAATTCCCAGTGGCCCCCAACCAGCCAGGTCTCCCATGGTGCCTGGTATAGAGCCACCAAGTCACAATGGTCTGCAGCAGCCACAGGTGCTGGCAATATCGTTAACAGGACCAGCCTGCCCTGTGGTTGCTTTCTCAGGGCCTGCAGGGTGGTTTACTGGTCTCCAGCAGCCACAGGTGGTGGCAATATCTTTAACAGGACCAGCCTGCCCTGTGGTTGCTTTCTCAGGGCCTGCAGGGTGGTCTACTGGAAGGAGATACTGCTTTTTAAAGACTTTGGGGAAACAGGATTGCAGGGTTTTTCTTCTTCCCGCTGCTACCTTTTCCACTGTTCAGGTTTTTTTGGTGTATACTTTATGGATATTTTTTTTCCCTCCTTTTTCAAGACAGTTTCAACTGAGCAAATAAAATGGCCCTGGAAAGAGTCTTGGTTTCCAAGAGCAGAACAAGCAACGAGCACAAATGGCAGATAATAAAATCCAGGCTGCATTTCCGATGGACCAGTTCTGGGGACTTTTCAAGCCTCTCCTCTCATTAGACAGGGGGAAGATGGTCCCTCAAGGAGCCTGGTTGCTGTTTCACAGCTCAGCGCATGGTTTGAAAAGGCTAAAGCTGTGCTAGGAGGTATTTCTCTTTCTTTCACCACGTACCTCACTTGCAAGCAATGGAGAAGGTGAGTCATGGCTGAGCAAGCAGAAAGATTAGAAAGGACTGAAAACCACAAGCAGTGGGTTGGGGTCCAGGGGGCTGCTGGACCGCTCCCTCATGTCTTTAAACCCTGCTCCCTTCCTTCCAGCCACCTCTGATGGCCATGTACCTCCCTTTGCTACGCACCAGCATCTCCTTCACTTCTGGTCTTGGCACGGACTCTCTCGTGGCTTCCTGGACGAGGAACAGCATCTACTGGTGACATCAGATGTCCTCTCTGGGGAACAGCTCCTGAAATCATGCCCTTTCACTGGGGCTCTCACAGAGGACAGCACATTAAGGGGCTCCACAGCCCCAAGCAACCATTTTTAAATCAAAAAGGGCAGTTGTCTGTGGCAATAGCTAGGTGATGAGCTGTATTCCCATCACATCCTTCCTTTCTGCCAAATACCCAGCCTCAAGGCAAGAGATGCCAACCCCCGAGCTGTTTTTTCCATCCCTCCTTTCTGCCAAACACCCAGCCTCAAGGCAAGAGATGCCAACCCCTGCGCCCCCAAGATGAGGAGGACATGCCGTTGAGCAGGGTGGTGGCTCTTTCAGCAACAAACTGGATCTGGAAAGCTTTGTGAGCCCTTACGATGGAGGAGACCATGTAGTCAGGCATTAAGAAACAGGGCAGCCACCAGGACGAAGGAGGGGACACGGTGCCTTGTGTGAGGGTCCTAGCAGTGCCACATCATTCGTGCATGCACTGAAATGCAGAAATCCCTGCTGGTACCTACCTGAGGATGAACAGGGACTGCCGGCCAACGGCAACCCTTCCAATATAGACACACATTACCAAACCCTTCCTAAAAAGCTGTCATTTTGGGTCAGCTGGTGATGTGTCTTTTACAGTCCACTTTCTTTTGGGTATGGCCTTCTCCAAACCCCAATCGCTTGCAAGCCAGATGACCCCCCCAAGGAGATCTTGCTCTGACGAAGGTCTGATGACCCAATTGCGTTGAGACCTTGTTACATAGCAGCTCAGACTTGTGACCGTGTGCCTCGCTGCCACACAGCCCCTCTCCTCTTCCTCCTTCTCTTTCCTCCTCCTCCTCACGTCTCGCTCCACAGCCACGGGTTATTGTGCAACGAGCCGGTGGCAGCCACAGCACTTTTAACTGCACGGAAAATAGCAGAAGGAAAGTATCGAGTGTATTTTTAGCTTATTTTCCTGCAATTTAGCAGTGGGAAGAGAAAAAAAAATAAAAATCCAGTTGTTCCATGAGACATAATGAAGTCTGGTTTCCTATGGATTCATGCGCTATAGCCCCTAAATCCTCCCTCTCCTGTGGCCTCCCAGGCATCCTGTCTGCCTGCCCACAGTAATCCCCAGCTCTCCCCGTGTCTCCCACCCATCTGGCAGGGCAGGTGGCAACACACACCGGGCTTGGCCAAGGGGCCAGCCACTAGAAATACTGATGGCCTCAGCACTGGACACAACACTGCTCCCTGTAAGGCATCCTTTGCGTCTCATCTCTGCTCAGGCACTGATTTTTGCATCGTTCGTAGGATATTAACATTCTCCAAGCTGCTAGTCTTCTGTCAAAAAGTCTGCCAGAGGGACCAGGAAGTTCTCAGCGGGTGGTTGACCACCAGACAGCACCATCCCATCCACCTTATACCCTAAAAAAGTCTAAAAGGAGCTTTTTTTTTCTGATTCTGCTCCCAAATTCCCAACATTCATGGAAGTTTGCAAGAGCAAGAACTAAGACCCCCTCTCAGAGGGTATGTTAATGAAGTCTTCTCCCCAAAATCCGAAGGTGCCTGCAGGCACTGCCCCGTGCCCAGCAGAGCAGGTAGGCAAGGTGAGGTGCAAGACACAGCTCTGGCTGTGTGTACTGAGTGGCTCGGGACCTCACTACCCCAGCGGGCAGACAGGCTAATGCTAAACTTGTGTGAAGACCCACCCGAGTTCAAAGGCTGGGAGTGTTTCATCCGCTGCCAAAAGATGACATCAACTGGACCAAAACTATAAACAAACACTCCAGTTTGCCAGAGCCACGGATTACTAACAGCTCCGTTTAATAGTCAGTTGAATTATCATCTGGAGTTTTACATAGTGTTACAATGATTTTTATTTTTTTTTTGTTGCTGTTGTTTAAGACTTCTTTTTTTTATTATTATTTTTTTAAGTAAACCGGAAGGGTTTTGTGTTTCTTGCCACGTGGCTATCTCCCCCTAAAGCACCCTACTTTCAATCTACAGTAGTAAAACATCACATTAGAGTTTTAATAGAACATCAAGGAACATGAATTGTAGCCATCTTTGTAAAGAAAAGGACCAAAACATCTTTATATGTTAAATAACTCCACAACAAGTAAAAGGTAGTAATGCTACTACAAGGGTACAGGTGCAGCAAATTAAAAATAATGGCCCAGAGGTTCATCTCAGGTGAACGATAGCTCAATTAACTCAGAAATAAAACAAGAAAAGAGGGCAGGGGGCGAGGGAGGTTGCAGAAATGTGTGGAAAACAGTGTCTTCTCCAGCTTTCATCTGGTTGGCAGCATGGGAAGAACCAGGAGTCCTAGAAATAAAATACTGTGTAGGACCCCACGGCAGATGTGGACGGTGTCAGCTCTGCAGGGAAGGGCATGCCTTGGGGCTTACCCATGGCTGTTGTGAGTGAGCAAGCCCCACGCAACACATCTCACCAAGGCCAAGTCTGCAGCCTTGGTGCAACCCCACCTCCTCTGGTCTGGGCCCCCATGGGAGGCTGTTGGAGCTTGTCTGAGATGGGCTTGTGTGTCAATTGAGGGGTTTGGCAGGAAAAGTCCAAGTTTGAGCAAAATTCTGAGTTCCAAAGCCAGAGTGAGGAAACTAAGAAGGAAGTCTTCGCAAAGCCATGGCCGTCATGAAAATGGTCCCACAGATGTGGCACGCTGGCAGGACCTGCTGGTGCAGCAACACCACAGCAGTCAACCAGGCAGAGCACAGCCCCACCAGCAGACTGCACGGTCCATCATGGGATGGGGATCCGAATCATGTCTGACTGTGCAAGGGTGCTGCTGAAGGACCTTGTGGTCCTGGTGGCTTTCCCCTCACCGTCCAGGGTGGTCCATCTCCCAGCCCAGGGGGAAGCTGGGTCTGAGGGGAGAAGAGTCCAGCCCAACTGGCCGATAAGGCTGCGGGGTTCTGGTTGACTACTCAAGGGCCTTGAAATGCGAGTGCAGAAGCAGAACAGAAGTATCTGGAGAGGCCCAGTGCAGATCTGGGGGCCAGATGAAAAAGTAACCTAGGCAGGTGTGAGCGCGTGGGGCATCCGGGGTTTTCCTGGCAGCATGGCAGCGAGTGGCTGGCAGGCCGCGCTGCTCCTGTCCCTGCTGCTGTACCTAGTAAGCAATAAAAGAGACGAGCCTGCTACCCAAAGGAAAACAGTCTGTGTTTCATATAAAGGCCACGTAAGCGGTATTACTTGGCGAGCAACCAACTTGCCTCCGGGCCAGAGCAGCCTTCCTTCAAACATCCCTCCCAGGCGCTGAGCGGAGGTGCCCTTTGCCCATCCCTGGATGGCTGCCCGGCTGGAAGTTAAAAGTTGTCTCAGCCTCCGCTGGGAGAAGCAAGAGGATAAACCAAAGCATCTCGTTGGCCAAGACTGCCAGTGGCTGAAAGGAAAAGGAGCTACAGCTCGCTATGGATCACCCGTCAACGCAGGCCTGTGCGCGGAGATGGTGCTGGTCTTGCCCTGAGCCCCAAGCCCTTGGCAGCATCAGGCACATCAAATTATAAGGAGAAAAATGTAAAAAAAAGCCAAAAGGATCCAGTAGACCTCCTTCTTGGAAAGAGCAGGTGTTTCCCCAACGACCCCTGCCAGACACATTCCTTTTAGAAACGACACTGGGACACCCAGGTAACGCTGACTGCTGCTCCCAGCAGCTCCCTGGTCCAGGACAGCCACCCTTGGAGGAGACATCTGCCTGGGAGAAGGGAAGACCAAAGCCCCGTGTGGTCCTGCAGGAAGATACTGAACTTCTGTTGTGCAAACACTGTGATGCAGCACTGTCCACCGTGACCGGCTGCGGATCACAGCTGCCTCCCTCTCAGCACCACGCAAACGTTCGAGCTGTGTCCTTGGCAGGTGGCAGGAGGAATGAGGCAGAAAATCGTAAGAGACAGGCTGAAGATTGCTCCTGCCAAGACCGAGAAAAATGAAAAGGAAATTTCTTTCTGAAGAGGCATCATAAAAAAAAAAAAAATCCCACTGCAGGGCTCCTGGCTTGTCCAGATCAAAGGTGCGCAGCTGGCAAGTCCAGAGATGCCTCCTCTGCAAACAAGGCTGGAAACTGAAGCTAAAAGGAAGCCGTTGGCTGCCTCCAGCACCATCAGTGCTAACAGGGTTTTTGGGAACAGTTTGCTCTGAACTCAGCTCAGTGTCCCAGGACAACCTAAGTTCTCTGTTGTTTTTTTGTTTTTTTTTTTTAAAAAAAAAAACAGTGAGACCTGCAGATGTGAGACTAAACACAGGCAAGCAGCACCCCCAGAACCCTGCCCATCATGCCATGTCACTGAGTCCTCTCTGGGACCAGGATCTCTGGGACCATCCTCCACAGCTGTGTCTGGGTATGCTACAACCCCCTCCCCTTGCCACACAGAGCCTGGGCTACACCGTGGCTACAGGGCAGCTGGTGCAGAAGGCAGCCTCAGCTGTGCCATCTGGGTGCTGCTGTCTTGACTGGGGCTCTCCTGAGCAGCAGTTTGACATCACTGCATCGAAGTCTTTACTATGGTGGGCAAAAAAACAAAATAAAAATGGAAGGGATTTTTAAGTTGACATCCAAGAAATTTGAACACAAGAAGAAATATCACGATGTCCGGCTGACCCGAGGCCAAACTGCCTTTGCTCTGGAGGACTTTGCATCTTGGAGCAAATGTGGGCTTTGAACTTGAGGAGATGGGGTCACCAATGTCCCTCGCTCCTTGCCCCAGCTGATGGTGCCCCCGTCTTGCCCTGCAATGGCACTGTCACTTAGTCAGGTCTCATCCAGTCTTCATGCTTTACAATTGCAAAAGAACCCAACCCAGCCCTCTTGGCTGCCTGGTAGCTGTTCTCCTCAGCCATAACCATTAGCATCTCAACCTGACCTGCATGCCCTGCCTCCGTTTTTCCAACCCTGCATCACTTGCTGTCTTTTCATGCCTGTGTCACCGTGTTTCTCCCATGACCAGTGTCCCCCCACCCTCGGGAATGGTCCCCACATCCAGGGCTGGGATGGGGCAGGCAGAGAAGGCTGTTCCCTTCCAACCTGCCCTCTCCACTGATGCTGAAGAACCTCTTGGCAAAATGAATAAAACAAAACCAAGAAAACTGGGTCCCACAAGACTTCTAACTAGAAAGGCTTTTGGCCAAGTCGAAGAAGAAACTAATACTGAGTCAGTCCTGCACAGAGCAGCCAGTTTCACTCCCCAGTCCAAATTTTTGCCTCCAGAAACATCAGTGATACCCTCCCCCCCCCCAGCCATGGGTCCGTGTATAAAACCCTCACAAAACGCCCGTGGGAAGGCCAGCGTGAGAGTGGGCGCCCCGCAACCCTCAGTAGTCCTTGTCACCATAGTCATTGTAAAGGACACTCAGTGTCTGCTCCTCGCACGTCTTCTTGAGGTCCCGGCTGAGCTCTGACCAGTCGAGCCCATAGGGCTTGATCTCACTGTAGCGGCAGGCAAGGTACTTGAGGGACGAGCGCTGGAGGCTGATCTTGGGCTCTTGCAGGAGGCTGTTACACCAGCTGCTGAGGTCCCCCAGCTGCGAGAGGATGAGGCCAGCTTTCCTGCAGCGAGGGCAGGCAGGGGGAGATGCCGGGGGGAGATGGACAGCGAGGGGGACAACCGGAGCGATGGAGACAACATGGCGGGGGGGACGGTGGGAAGGGCAGGAGAGTATGAGGAGAGAAAAGCAAAGACAGTTAGGGATGCCACAGGAGCTCCTGGTTGGAGAAGAGACAACGTGAGAGTTGGGCAGTGAGGAGAGCAGAAAAGCAGAGCCCGACCCCACTGGGATGAGGAGGGTCAGTGGGCTTGGGGGGGACACACTGGCCCCATGATAGCACTGCAAGTCCAAATCACAGAATCACAGAATCTTAGTGGTTGGAAGGGCCCTCTGAGATCATAGAGTCCAACCACAAAAAAAAAAACAAAACCAAAAAACCAAAAAAACACCACACCACACCAAACGCCCACCAAAAACACCGCACCCACCAACTAAACCCCACACTCAACACCTCGCCATAAACCAATAACCTTGGGCACTAGAGCATACACTGAAGAGCCATGTCGACGGGTTTCTTAAATACCTCCAGGGATGGTGACTCCACCGCCTCCCTGGGCAGGCTGTTCCAGTGCCTCACCACTCTCTCAGTAAAGTAATTCTTTCTAATATCTAATCTAAATCTCCCTTGCCGCAACTTCAGACCATTTCCTCTGGTCTTGTCGTTCAACCTTTGGGAGAAGAGGCCAACACCTGCCTCTCTACAACCTCCTTTCAGGTAGTTGTAGAGGGCAATGAGGTCTATGCATGTAGGAGCTGCATTTTACCTGGTGTCCACACCACCACAGAGGTGCTGGACCTGCTGCACTGGTCTTGAGACTCGCCTCATGCTTTCCTGCCCTGTCCCCTCTTCTTCTTCCACCCCGTATCATCTCCACAAGGCCAGGTTTGCTGAGGGTTTAGTGAGGGGACAGTCACAGGTGTAGCTTTGAAACCCCCTACACCCTTTGGGACGGACATCATGAATGACTCAAATTGCATCACCAGTCACTGCTGCAGCTACTGGACCCCAAATATAACAGGATAGGAAAGTGGAAGCATACAGCCCTACGGGCAGTGGGGAAAAATGCTAGAAGCTTCACGTATGGCCAGTCCAGGGCAGTGTCACCACACGTATTGTGGTGACAGTAGGGCTGCCCAAAAGAAGGCAAGGAAGGAGAAGGAAGTTTAGGGAATAAAAAAAAAACAAAAAAACAACAAAAACCAACCAAACACAACCCACTAAAAATATCATGCCTGTCATCTGTATTAGTCTGGCTTGTCGGGGTCTGCATGGAAGGCTGAAGGTGAGATAAACATGATCCTCATAAGATGCAATATCATAAGATACAAGCACAATGAAAGACACTCCTGATACGTGACTTGCAATGTTTACTAGCAGTTTGGGAAACATGTCTCAAAAAGCAGCTTGCAAACTAGAAGGAACACACTGAGGCACACAGCATAGCTTTGATTAAAAAAACCTCTGAGAGAGCAGGGGATGTGGTGGAGCTCCCCAGTTCTTTGCACGTGCACTTTGCATCTTCCAATTGCAGAGAGCAAAATGAGGAAAGGCAAGTCATGGCAATAGTGTTTCGTAAAGAGCCACAACCCAGACAAAGAAGCCAGGAGAGAAGATCAGGTGACAGAGCAAGAGGAGGTCCAGGAGGAAGCCATCTTCAGCAGAAGACAGACACGCAGCACTCTCAGGGCAACACAGCCTTTGTGTGGGCTTGTTCTGGTAGTGAGAAAGTGCTGGGTTCCCAACCCCTCGTGTTGGATGAGATATTGGAAGAGCACAGAGGATCCTGGCCAAATATGACCTCAATTGTGTTCTCTTGTTTTCACGTTTTTCCTCTTAAAATTGTGCTTCTAGTGCTTTTATCAAGAGAAACAGTTTGTTCAGATAAAATACATTACATTCATTTTGAACTTGTCTAGCACTTTGGGTGATCTCCAGGGAATCTGGCAAATGTGAAGGTAATGGGTTCAAATGAAGTGCCTTGCAGGTATTGTATGTGCCTGGAAACCCAGACAAATACACAAAAAGTGTCTCAGGAGCTGGGCTGTTTCCTAGCCAGTTTCAAGGTCAGTCTGTGGGTTGGTAGACACAGAGAAGTGAAGATACATCCCTTTGGTAGCTGTAATTCAGCATCTATTCAGCACAGAGCAGGCAGTGGAGGCACGAATTATGATGCTGAGGGAAAAAAATCCTCTTTGTCACACTTTTGCTTGGATAAGCAGGGGTTGCGTGTGGAGCACGCGGTTGTGTTGTGGCTGGTGTGATAGCTAAAGGGTGTGTGTACTGACCATAGAGTAACATCCACGGTTCCTCCACATCTTCCTGTAGGCCAGGTCCACCCAGAGAGAGCTGCTCAGTGAGGAGCAAATCTACCCCAGGCCAAGCGAGAGCCAACCTTGGCTTTCCTGGAAAGGAAACCTTCAAGAGGTCCACCACAGTGCAGATGGTCATGTAGCCCTTGCTAGCCAGCTTCAGATGGCTACAGCTCTGAGAGGTCAGTCTGGAGCCACCAAGAGGTTGTGCAGCTGTGCAGCCCTCTGAGCCTTGGAGCCCTGGGGCTCACATCCAGACCACAGAAGAGAGGTGCAGGTGCTTAGGACAGTGCTGACATTTGGGAAATAGCCATCCGAGCTGCCCAGGTCTTCCAGCTGTTAGAAGGTAGCAGACCTGCCAATCCTCTCGGTCCACACACCTAGGTGAGGTGCTGTGATTGCTTCTCTTCCTCCAGCACCATAGGTACCCTAACAGGAATGTTGAATATGATACTACAGATTTTGGCCCAAAGCCCTTAGACACCACCAGACTTGACCAGTCTTTGCATCAAATCCTACTTTTTCACTTACTTACTACTTGCTAGAAAATGACGTGCCTTTCCCTCCATTTCTTCTCCCGATGCAAAGTCCAGGGCTATCTGCAGCCCTTTTCATACTGGGAGGGAATAACAGACACACGTTTGTAACCCCAGACAGATTATCTGCACGCACCCTTGTTTCCTTCAGTCACCGAGAAGGGAGGCAAGCGTGCCCCAGGCAAGCAGAGACAGAAGGTGGCATGGCCACGTGGAGGAGGAGGGACACGGTAGAGTCAGTCGCGTGGGTCCACATCCAGAACTTCAAAGGAGCATCGGCAACAGTCAAACAAACACTCTCTCTGCTGGCTAAATAATGTCATCTGCAAGTGATTTGTCCTGTCACTACCAGTCTGGATACTTCGCCCTCGCAGACGATCAAACAGGAGGTCTGCTTTCCAAGATTTGTCATCACCAGAACCCACTGCAGCTGCCTAAATGTCTCTTTCCAAGTAGTGCGAGCTACAAAACACTTCATCAGCAACTTGCGTCATCCCATCCTAAGCGCTCCAGCATTTCCAGAGGCTGGAATTAACCCTCTGGCTCGTAGATTTACGCAGCAAACGGTAACATTTGGGCAATTCTGTGGCATTTCTGGCTGCCTCCATGCCAATGCATCTCTGCCTCGTGGGGTTCAAGGAGGCAGCTTCCACCCCATGTTCTGGATGGCCCTCGGCCTCCTTGCCAAGGCAACGAGCAGCGATGGCAATGCTCAGCCTCGGTGTTGGCAGTGGTTGTGTGATGACTCCAGTCTGTCGCCCCGGGAATGTTGTGTAGTCCTCACGCAAACCGTCGCAACAGATGTCGGTTGGTCTGTGCAAACCGGGTCTGGAAGTTTCACATCTGGAAATGGAGACAGAGCGGCATCACCGCAGCTGGGCTCAAGAGGAAGGTGAGACGTAAGCCCAAGCCTGCTGGTCCCAGTCGGTGTCATGGCAATGAAGCAACCCTGGGCAGAGGAGCCTGGGGGGAACCTCAGGTTTAACAACGAGACTCCATGCACTGGGATGTCATTACTGAGTTTGGAGGCTTTGCCTCAAAGAGTTTAATTTTTTTAGAACATACATGGGAAAAGGGAAAAGAGGAGAGACCCCAGCTTTGCTCCAAGGAGTGGAGGATCTCCTGGGATTTTCTGAACAAGGAGACGTGCTTTAGAGACACTAAATTCAGGACAGCCACCAGCTATTTGCTGAGTCTTTCTGACCCCCTAGCAGAGGTTTGTAGGACAGAGAAGGTACACGGAGCATCTCCAATCCTCTCCTAGAAATCCACAAGTGATCACCTGGAGAAGCAGGGCTGGAAGACCTGTGGTGAGACCAGCAAGAGGAGGTGTAGGGTAAGGAGTAGGGTGAAGGCCATGCATTTCATAGATAGGAGCTGTTGCTGACGTACATTTTAAGTCATCCTAATTTCCGGATGGGCTCAAGTTCTTTGGAGGCCAGATGCTATGAAACACCACTGCAGCCCACACAATTTCCCAGACTAGCCTGATAAACTGACTGGAAACATCCACGTTACTGGGAAACCACACAGACAAAAGGGGACATCGAAGGACATGGGGAGAAGGGAACATCTGGCTGCCTCCACAAGCCTGTGGCTTGAGGCACCCCCATCCCCAGACAGCTGGAGGGGCTGCAGTGACCTGGAGAAGCCCAGGGAGAGAAGACAGTGCTCACCGAGGCATGAAGGAACTGCATCAGCTGGGAAGGACACAGGGCAACCTTCTCCATAACCTGCCATGGAAGCTCAGCACTGCCTGAGCACCAAAAATACTCATGGCCCTAAGATCACCTCATATGACCACAGACATGGATCAAAAGGAAGGTAATATATGCAATTCAGTGCCAAGGTCAATACACTGCCTGCTTTGGAAGGCAAGTGACAGTGAGTTCAACACACAGAGGTGCATTCAACTCAAGCCAAAGCCCAGGAAAAGGAGGAAAGCTGAGTCTGATCTTGGCACGGCCCAGCACGTATCTGTGTAATTTGCATGAACAACTTCATCAAGCAGTTTCAACAACCAAGCTCTTCAGTGTCACCTTCTCCAGTAGGCATGAAGGTGTAACGACCTTCTTGCACCTTCTCCCCTCTATTAATACCCAGAGTCCTTCTGTAGCAAAATGCTTCAACTACACTCCCTTGCTTCTCACCACCGACAATGTCCATTCCTCAAAGGTGCACTATTTTTCTGAGACCTTCTGCCCTTTTGCCTGTGGCAGCAGCTACTGAGGGAAAAAGAGAATCCCATCCCTGTCCCCTTCTTACTCTGCATGTCAAGAAAGGAGTAGACAAATCTCCAGAAATGGTATAGGGCTGGTGAGATGGACAAGGATAATGGGTCGACAATGGTTTACCACCTTTCACCTTGTCCTATGTTTATGGTCCTTCAAGGGAGATGGCTGGACCATAAACACATGCACAGCATCCAGTAAAACAGAAACCCCACTGTGAGACTCAAAAAAATTAATGAAATTTGCCAGAGAGCTACATTCCTGGTGACCAATATCTATGAGGGCTATGCATGTTGGTGGGCAGGCCTGTCTTCCTAGCCAACCCAGCTCCTGAGCCTACCTGGGTCCCAGCTCATCTTCACAGCGCCAGGTGAACTCCCCAAAGCTCTCATAGTGCTGGTTGTAGTGGTAAAGGACTCGGTGCAGGCTGGGGGAACCCAGGTCCAGCAGAGTGTTGTAGGCTGTTTGCTGCTCCTTTCCACTGGTATAGCCGTTGAAGAGGTTGTAGATCTTGTCTGCTATTTCTGGGCAGAAGGACAGGGGGTATTCAGTGACATGCAAGAAAAACCATCAACAAAGTCCACCAGGCTAAAGCTCAGCTCCAGGGAAATCAAGACCCGAGCCAAGATTTGTATCCTAAGTTATGATTTATGTCATATCAAGATCAAGACAAGGTCCCAGTGGAGGAGCAAGGAGTAGTTGACATTCCCCAGACTCAGTCCAGATTAGGTTCCCATAGTTTGGTCCAATTAGGAAAAGAAATAAGTGGTGTCATCAGCTATTGTTAGTGAAATATCATTTATTTATGACAAGGCACACAACTCGGGGTTCTTGAGCACAGACACCACCTATGCTATCAGTTGCTTTCTGGGCAAGACAGGCGGGTCCTGTTTATTTTGGTATGTCCTGAGTGCTTGCCCCCTTGCCCATCCTCCCACGAGCTCAGAGTGCCTCTGTGTTTGCTTGCAGAGAGGATGTGTCCCTCCTGCTGTGCTCCAAACCAACCCTCAACCCCACATGACAGCACCTGGGCCACCATGGGTGAAGGAGATGTTACAGCCAGGACACGAGACGTGTGCGGGGACATGCTGGAAAGGGGAACTCCCTGTTGCTAGTCCCAAGCATCACAGTCCAGCAGCTCCCTCCATCTCACCTTGAGCTTTCACATCATCTACCACGGGGCAGGGAGTCTTGACCGTCACATCACTGGACCTGGAGCGTCTTCCTGTGTTATCGACTCCCCACAGCGTGAACCTGGCCAAGAAGGAAAAAGATGAAGCTCTGGACTTCCAAGCCCTCATGCAAAGACAGGTAGCATCAGGCAGGAGCACCACGCTTAGGGTGATGGCGCTGCTATGGGCATGGCAAGGGGCAGGTGACTCACATGTAGGTGGTGTCAGGCTCCAGGCAGCGAACGATGAGGGAGATGGTGGAAGAGAGCCTGTCAGGCACTTGGGCTGGCATGGCGCAGGGTGACTTGGCGCCAGAGATGATGTCATCCACGAAGCTCAGGACTGTCTCTAGGGAGAGAGGGGAAGACACGCTGCAGGTGATGATGCAGGTGTCCCTGGGGCTGTGGAGAGGCCCTGAGGTCTGTGCCCATTACCACACTGCCTGGTGCCAAGGGGGACCAAGGTTCATGCATGAGGTTGATGCAGAGATGGACTCATTGCTTTTCCAGCAAGGCTCATCACCATGGCATGGAGCTGCCACTTCTGCAGTGTGGTGGGGAGAAGAGGGGCTGCTTTCTCTTCCACAGGATACTGGGTATGTTGCAGTATTCCCTTGCAGAGAGGGAGACAGAGGCTCTCCTCCAACATCTCCATCCCACCCTCTCCCAAGAGAACCAGTAGAGTTCCCACTCACCTGTCTCCACCTTGGAGTGGTCCATCCTGTCGGTGACTTTCTCTTGACGGAGGAGGTAGTCAACGATCTGCACCCCAATGGGAGGCTCCGAGTGGCCCCACTCCAGCACCACCAGGGTGCTGCTGGGCTCATGCACGGTGGAGAGCCGCAGGCTAGGGAGAAATGTCAGCTGGTCAGTACCTCAAGAGGGCAAGGTCCACTGCCCACCCACACTCACCCTCACCCGTGTCTGTCACCACCTTGCTGCTTCTCTGCGCCACAAAAAGGCAGCCAAACCACCAGGCTGAGGTTGGGGAGAGTTGCTGAGGACAACCTCTCCAGCTGGTCCTCACGGCTGGTGCAGAAGACAGCATGAGCGTGTCCTGCCCATGTTTGCCAGTTCCACTTACTCTGCTGTGCAGGTCACGTGCACATGCACCTGAAACGAGCTGGTAGTACCTAAGGATAGTTTTTGCATGATTGTCTCACAGCAAAATGGCTTCAAATCCACTAGCCCATGAGAGAGCAAGCTCAGGACAGAAGTGACTCCCCGTCTCCTACCCCTCCTGGCTCTGGCCATGCTGATCCTGAGGGCTCCTTCCCTGGGGTTTTGCTCTACCAGGATGGATTCAAAACTAGCTCCCCAATCTTCATCTGAATTTAGAAAAGACACTCCATCTTTGTATCTTCTGCCTGATTTCCAAGTCCCCTATCCACTTGCAAACCTGTCCCATAAAGCCACCCCAGCCCCACCACCTCCTGCCACCACGCAGCTCCCCACTGCCACCTCCTCCCAGCCCCATCACACCAAGAGGCCAGGCTAGGCACCTGCAGAGACCTACATGGGGTGTGGGAGAGGTGCACAGGTGGGCAGCCCATCAGCCCCAAAGGCACTCGAGTCACAGCGGCACCAGTCCTCGATGACGTCCCCACTGCCTGAGCACCACAGCGAACTCATGGTGGCCTCCTGCAAGAGCTGGGAGAGAGGAGAAGCCAGTCAGCACCGGGCAGGTGAGCTCCCACCCCGCTGCCACTCAAATCAGTGCTCATCCATTCCCCAGTAGATTCAGCACAGTTCATCCACCCTGGAGAGCAGGGCCAGCCAAGGGCTGCCAAGGCTTGAGATGATGCCACCATGCATCACCTCCAGCGACCACCCTGATGATGTTCTGCTTCCTCCCATGCCCACCCGACCACCCCCCCAAGGCCGGCAGCTCCTCACCCGCTGGGTCTGGTTGTTGGTGACCAGCTCGTAGATGGGGGCGGCTTTGGTGACCTCCAGCAGGATGGGTTCAGCCGGTACATCAGGACCAGAGGTAACATGGCAGAGAGGGCAGGAGGAGGGGCAGCGCCCGCGGCTCTGGCACTCCATCCGCACACCGGCTGCCATGCGCTTGGTGCCCGACTCGGAGAGGCTGGCGATGTACTCGGGGAACGTGAGCACCTTGGGGTCCCGCTCACGCTCCTCCGACTCATCCGAGGGGGAGTTTCCTGGGGAAAGAGGGGAATAAAGGGGCATCAGAATGGGCCCTGAGCCATCGAAAAGGGGATTTGAGGGACTTAGAGCCCTGCTGTGTGTCCAGGCCACCCTGTTCCCCCTCCATATCCTTAGGAGCTCCTTGCTTGCTTGTAGGGATGTAGGGATCCCTTGTAGGGATGAAATGGTGACTGGTCTTGAAAGTGAGAATCAGGACTGGAAATTCCACCCTGACCTCTACCGTTGCAGATCCTTTTGTCCCCCTGTGCCTCAGTTTCCCCAGTTCCAGCCCTTTGCCTGGTACTAGGATGGGCCACCCTTGCAGCAGGTCCCCACTAGACCAAGCTTCCTTCTTGTGGCTGCAAGCTCATGAAGGACCTACCTGGGCTTCTTCTTCACCCCATGCTGAAATCCTCTCCAAAGCTTCCTGACAAACCATTGTGCTGCAAAATCCCTCCTGGCCCAACATCTCTTTGCTCGACTGGCCAACATTTCTTTGCTCGACTCCCTTGGTCCCCGAGGGCCCCCATCAAAGCTGATGTGACAGAGCATGTTGGAGACCAGGGAGGAGTGTCAGACCAGGGTGTGCAGCAATGATGCCGTCTCGGTGTGCTCCCCACACTCCCCAAAGGTCTGCAACCAGCCGCACCAAAGAGCTCAGAATGAGCTTCTCAGTGCCTCACGATGCCGAGAAAGCCCCTGAGATGACTACAAAGCCACCAAGGTCCTCTTCAGGCCCTCCACCCCTCCTGCGTTCAGTGCCCAGGGGAAGGGAGGTGGGGAGCAGTTCCCTTTTGGGAGCTGGCTCAAGCCTGGCTCCTCTTGTTCATTGACAGCCAGACAAGAAAAGAGGGTCTTCTCCCTACGGGCTTAGCTTACAAAGCACCATCACAAAGGAAAAGAAAATGGTGAAACCTCTTCGGCCCCTCCACCCTTCCTGCTTTCAGTGCCCACACAGGGGAAGGGAGGTGGGGAGCAGTTCCCTTTTGGGAGCTGGCTCAAGCCTGGCTCCTCTTGTTCATTGACAGCCAGACAAGAAAAGAGGGTCTTCTCCCTACGGGCTTAGCTTACAAAGCACCATCACAAAGGAAAAGAAAATGGTGAGATGGAGACAGATGTCTTCATTAGGACCACGGACTTCCAGCCAGACTGTGACGAGGCTGAGGGCTTGTTTACCCTCTTGCCTGCGCACATAGTGGGGTATCTGCAGGTCTTACCCTGCCAACCCTGAGACAACCCTGCAACCCAGCAGGCTTGGGCAAAAAAAATTTGCAGCTGGGAAACGTTATCATGGGCTACACCTTCCCCATCTCTGCACAAAGGTGCCACCATGTCCCCACTGCGCGGGGCAGCAAGCCAGACCCTGTGCTTGGTGGACTTTTCTCCAGCACTCCCACAGAAGGAAATATTTTGACAGAAGGGGGAAAAGTCCTGGCCCAGCAGGCAAGAAGGTAGGATCTGCCCATGGCTGCTGTGCCCTGGCTACCATCGCCCCACCGCTGGTAGCCTCGCCGTGCAGGGGAACGATGCTTTTCACCTGAAAGTCCTACCACGGGATGTCCCTGGCTCTGCTCCAAAGAAAGAAGGGCAAAGAGGGACCGCTGATGATGATGATAAAGGCAGGCCAAGTGGGGATGGAGGAAGCCAAAGGATGCCAAGGCACAGCCTCAGGGCATTGTCGGTGGTGGCTTAGCTCTGGGGAGCTGCTGGAGAGCATGTCCATGGCTCAATAGGAAGATCTTCCTATTGCAAGGGTTTGCTGAGAAATGGGCCCACGATACAGCCCATCCTCGAGACTCCTACAAAGAAAACAAGGCTGTTAAACAAAACCCGGGATAGAAGAGCATCGCTCGGCTCCCCCAGCGAGCTGGAAATGGATCGCTTTGGGCTGGCTGTGAATTGCAGCTTAGCGGGCACCGAGGGAAAGCAGAGCAGCCAGGGAATGATTTGTCTCTTGCAATTTCTCAATCGATATCCAGCTCCTGACGTTTGCAAACAAAAAAAGCAAAGGAGGGAAAGAGACAGGTGCCAGAGCGAAACCGAAATGTGATATTGTGGGTGGAAAGGAGACTGCCAGACCTGAAAAGCCTCCAAGCAAGAAAATCAAAGAGGAGGAAATTGCAGGAGTAAAAAAAAAAAAAAAAAAAAAAAAAAAAGTACTTGCAATCAAAAGATGCTACATCTGGAGACAGCCCACAGCAAAACAGCTATGGGTCTGTACTCTCGCAGGTGGGCTTGGGAAGAAGTCCAGGCTCCAGAAGGTCTGAACCCTGTAAGATCCAGACTCGGGCGCAGAAAGGAGCCTGTTCCACATAAGAGCCTTGGAGAGAAAATAAATATCTTCACAGCCGGGGCACAGCAAGAGCAGCACCGTAGGCTGGTGCCAATACTGAGAATTATGAAGTTTCGTGATGGAAATGATACGGTGGGTCACGGTGCCTGTGAGCTCCAAGCTCACGTTGGTGCATCCAGGAGCTCCTGGGCAGGAGGCAGAAACCCAAAGCCACCTTAGAAAGCAGCAGCTCTGCTCAGCATCCCCTGTGTCTGAGCATGGGAGCTGGCTCTTGCTTGCTCCCTAAGCCTGGGTGGTGCAACCCAACGTCCCCAGCACAGGCAGAGAAACACCTGCAAAAGCCAGGACAAGAGGAGATGCCATGGTCCTGGTGACAGCCAGCAGCAGGCAGGCATTAGGCTCCCTCCGCATTTGGAAAGCTCATGTCCAATTCAGCCATCGCTTGCCTGCAAAACCCCTTCCACAGGGGAGGTGTCACATCTGGCTGCAGCGAGGGCTCCGGAGGGCACACAGCAGCCCCGGATGCCCTCTGCACCCTGGTGAACCTCCCAGTTCATAACTGGTTTCCCAGGCATTAAAAGCACAGCCCTGACAGCCTAGGAGAAGGAAGCACATTAGAGGGAGAAAAGTCTGGCCGCGGGATGCAAGTGGAAGAGAGCAGATATGGCGGAGACAAAAGGAAGGAAGGAACAGGATTAAAGACAAATAACAGTTAAGTCCAGAATCAGGCAGGATGGCTTGGTGGGATTAGTGCATTTGTCTTTCATCTCCCTGGGGATGAGGGTATTTATCTTCCTTTCTGGCCCAGACTAATGCCTGCTGCAGTCCACGGGAGTCCTTCAGCTGGCTTCAAAGGGTGCGAGAGCAGGGTGCAGATAAGAGGATGAGATGGGACACAGCCCTGACGAGGGCTGGGCACTTTTCCCTGCTATTCCAAAAGCAAACCCAGCTTTCTGCTCCTATGGGGTTGCTGTGGGGACCCTTCCTGGGGACGAGCGGGGCTCCTACCTTTGCTGATGTCCTCATACTCCAGCCAGAGCTGCCGCTGGACCTGCCTGTTGGGATACCAGATGGAGCAGGACTCCTCAAAGCCATACACTGCCTCCTGGATGTAGTGGTTGCCAAACTGGTCCAGCAGCGCCACGAAATCCCCACGGGAGGTGGCCCCATCCAGAGAGTGGAGGGCATTGCTGAAGGCTGGGTAGGAGATGAGAGGAGATGCTCAGATCCCAGAGGACCCCAAGCCCTTGCCACCTCTTGTGATGGGCAACTAAACCCTGAGCCCATCACCTGCCAGAAGAAGGCTGTATGTCATCTTGCCACCCCTTTTTCCCTTCTTACCCCCCAAGTCCCACTTGCTTACACTGGGAGATGGTCAGCTGGTTGAGCCGGACGTGGTACATGACAGACTGCACCTTCCAGTGCTGCAAGAGGGGGTACCCGGACACTTCACTGAAATTCACCATCCCTGTTGGAGAAAGGAGGCAGAGTCTCAGTGCCACTGCCCAGGGACACCTTGCCATGGGGCCACCAGGGTGACCCACGGCTCCTCATGCCATGCCTGGGCTGGGAGGGGTGGGAGAAGGAACCATGCACAGACTATGTCCCCCCAGGGAAGCAGCGAGGCATTTGGAGCTGAGGGTCAGCTGCTCCCCAGCAATTAAAATCGTGGCTTTGAAAGAAAACACGTGGGCTCGTTTCATTCCGCCGCGCGGGGCTCTGTGTCGGAAGATAACGAGCCTCCTCCCGCATCCCCTCCTGCTTCCTTCCTGGTGCCTGCTCCCAAGACATGCCCAGGTGTGCTAATTATTTCACTAATGAGAGTTGCGTTTTTTAATGAGCTGTTTGCAGGCCTAGGAACGGTCACCGTCACACCACGTATGCCTGGGTGCAGCTCACTGGGAGGCCCTGGGGTCCCCTTCAGCCAGGACTCACACCTATGGGAGAAACCACATGCCTGCTGATGCTCCCACTCCCTCAGGACATCACGGCAACACTGGAGTTGAGCAAGACCTGGGGTTTCTCCCTCTTCAGCAAAAGACATCGTTTTCTCCAGTCATTTAACTATGAGCTACAAGAATCAGAAATTCATGGAGACGAGGACTGGGTGGCCACTTCACCTTGCCCAAGGCATGAGCCAAGCCATGCCCGGAAAAAGCCCCAGAAAGTCAACTGAAGGATGCTCGTGGCTTTGATTTTGGTGACTGGAGCATCCCTGGGTGTGCAGCAGCAGGGTGCTGAGGCACAGCCACCTCCTCCCTGGCAGCTCCACTGATGTACAGCCAACATGGCACACCTCCACTCGGCAGCCAAGCGGCAAACTCCGCTGCTAAACAGCCACACCGCAGGGGTTCAGGAGGAGAACAACAGACACCCCCCTCTCCGTAACAAGAAACGAAGAGGACATCACGGCAACACTGGAGTCAAGCAAGACCTGGGGTTTCTCCCTCTTCAGGCAAAGACATCCTGTTCTCCAGTCATTTAACTACGAGCTACAAGAATCAGAAATTCATGGAGACGAGGACTGGGTGGCCACTTCACCTTGCCCAAGGCATGAGCCAAGCCATGCCCGGAAAAAGCCCCAGAAAGTCAACTGAAGGATGCTCGTGGCTTTGATTTTGGTGACTGGAGCATCCCTGGGTGTGCAGCAGCAGGGTGCTGAGGCACAGCCACCTCCTCCCTGGCAGCTCCACTGATGTACAGCCAACATGGCACACCTCCACTCGGCAGCCAAGCGGCAAACTCCGCTGCTAAACAGCCACACCGCAGGGGTTCAGGAGGAGAACAACAGACACCCCCCTCTCCGTAACAAGAAACGAAGGCGGAGGATAAGGAGGATAAGATCCTTTGCCTCCCAGTGCCTCTCCCTTCAGCGCTGGCTGCTACCCACAGCTTCAAAGCCTTACTCTTCCCTGCAAAGTGTTTATGCAAAACCAGCCCTTCCTTAGTCAGCAGCTCTGCCTCTCCTGTATTCACAGCAACATCCAGATCTGCTTACTGACAAGCAGAGATTTTACTTCTTTTCTTTTTTTTTTCTTTTTTTTTTTTTTTTTTCCTCCTTAATCAGCCACGAAGAGCCAGCAGAGCAGTGGGAAATGAATAGGATAATTGACTGGCTTCTGCCTCTCCGGCATAATTGCCCACAGACTCCCAGTGCCGCTGACCCTGCCGCGATGGCTGAGGCTGGGGTGCCTTCTTTATGGCCATGTAACTATGTCAAGGGCAGCAGAACCCCCCACCAGGAGGCAAGGTGTCCTCCAGCACTTCCAGGCAAGGCTGAGCATCCCCACGGCTGCTGGGGTGACCTGGTGACACAGCTCTCTCAGGGCAGCTCAGTGCCCAGTGGCACTCTCCTCCCTGCCTGCACGTACACCTGCATTGCCATGCACCCTGTAAGGGCAACCAGCACCCCTTGGACCCTGGGTGCTACCCACGGGTGCTCCCCAAAACCCTTCTGGGAGCTCTGCCCAACAGGGTGAATGCACAAGGTCCCATATGAGACCACCTTGCAGACACACCTTCCAAAACACCTTACTACCCACATCCCCCACTTAGTAACTCCTCAGTGCCCTCAGCCATTTAAGCCAACAGCAACAAGCAGGAAGGAAACAAAGGCTATTGAGGGGTGCTGGCAACTTGGTGGAAGAAAGGTAAATCCGTGAAGGTCATCTAGGAATCCATGATAACCCTATTGCTCATGGCTCATGATCCTCTGCCAGGACAAAGTGAAATATTTTGATTTGGTTGTGTCAGGTTTTGAATGCTTCGTTACACCAGCAAAGGGTTTCTGTTTTGGAAATCAAACGAAAGGTGTTTGGAAACCTTTTTTTCCTATTTTTTTGGAATAATCCTTTTTGCAAATATCCCAAATATCTAATGGATGCTTGAGCTTTTACACCACACAATCAATTTACAGCCTCTCTCTCTTCTTCATTTTTAATGCCTTCCTCTTACTGCTGCTGCAGGTGATTACGGGATGCTAAAGCTAGATCAGATATATCCTGCAGAAGATATATCCCCTGTGAGGGGTAGATGCCAGAGCTGGGCACAACTGCAGCTGCCCTGTTGGGAAAGGCATGGGTCCGGCTGGGCTCACTCACCGGTGAGGAAGTCAGGGTCGGGTGTAGGTTCGGAGAGCTCCTCTTGGCACTGGTTCTCCAGGGGCACTGTGGCCACCACCAGCCCATCTGGCAGCTGCTGCTCCAGGCCCCGAGCAAAATTGTTCTGCCTGGAAGTTAATTGCAGAGAGAAGAACAGGGCTGGAGGACAGGGGATCGGCTTGGGGTCATCCTCACCAGCTGGTGACCCATCCCAAAAAGCTACCCAGCACCATGCCTTTCCTTTGGGCACAGATTACAATGGAAAGCTTCAGATGAACCCTCCCCACCAGCTCCTCCATCTTCTGCAAAGCTTGGCCAGATATGAATTTCACCAAATTTTAGAGTTGGAAGGGACCATAGAGATCATCTAGTCCAACTCCCCTGCTGAAGCAGGATTGCCTAGAGCTAGAGCATGTTACTCAGGACTGCATCCAGGCGGGTCTTGAAAATCTCCAAGGAAGGGGACTCCACAACCTCCCTGGGCAGCCTGTTCCAGGGCTCTGTCACCCTCACCGTGAAGAAGTTTCTCCTCATATTTGAGTGGAACCTCTTATGTTCCCACTTGTGCCCGTTGCCCCTCGTCCTCTCACTGGGAACCACTGAAAAGAGTCTGGCTCCCTCCTCCTTCAACCCTCCCTTGAGATACTTGTAGGCGTTGATAAGGTCTCCCCTCAGCCTTCTCTTCTCCAGACTAAAGAGTCCCAGCTCTCTCAGTCTCTCCTCATAAGGGAGATGCTCCAATCCCTTATGGACTAGGACTGGAATGGAATTCTCCTATGGAATGGACTAGGCAGGCTGTTATGGTCCAGCTGCTTCCCATTCCACCTTCTTGGCAAGAACAGCAAGGTCAGACTCTGCTGGGTTCACCTTCCCATATCCCCAACTCACCTGAACGTCCCTTTGAGCACTTGCCCTGGGGCCACCTCCTTGGAGTGGTTGTTGTAGCCATAGAAGATCTCCCCAAAGAGCGTTTGGTTCATAGGCAGCTCGCGGGGCTCACCGCAGTCCCCTGCCTCGGGGCACGACTCTGAGATGAGCTGGCACGACCGCCCATCCGTGCCCAGCTTGTAGTCCTCGATGCACCTAGGAAGCCAACACAGGGTCAACCATCCCTGGTGGTGACTGGGGCCACCAGGCCATCCCAGCAGGGATGTTGGGAACAGAGGAAGCCCTCCCTTCCAACCCTAGGAGCTCAGTAAGGCACAGCAGCACTCTGGGGGTGTCCCTGCAGCCAGGGAGCTGATGGGGATGCTCACCCACAGAACATGAGGATGTTGTAGAGCAGGGGGTCCTCAGGCAAGGGCACCATCTGCTGCAGGCACAGCTGCTCACAGCCCCCATTGAAGCCATCCGAGCAGTCCACGCCAACATGACGGTCGTAGCAGCCCGTGCCATCCTTCATGGGGCTCAGTCCCGTTGGGCACTGGTGGAAGAGGAAGGAAGAGGTGACGAAGCCCCTGAGGAAGACATCTGGTCCAGGGGGTGAGATGGAAGGGAGGACTTCGGTGCTGCTCTCTATTGGAAATCACAAGCTAAGCAATGCCTGGGGGCACACTCTTTCCCTCCCCACAGCACCACAGCTGTGGCAGTGACAGGGGACACGCGTGAGTGACATGGGACCTTCTGGAGAGCCAGCAAGTAGATGGGCTCTCTCATGTGTGTGTGTGTGTGCAGCAAGGGCAGGGAGGGAGGAGCTGCCAGCATGAAAACATCTCTTCCCACTGCAAAACCAACCCCAAAATACCCATCCCGAGGTGATGGGAAAGGAGGAAGGGTGCAGCCCTTCCCCCTTCACTCTCCCCCTCCTGCTCACACCGAAGGAGATTTGCAGGTCGCTGGGAGGCCACGCACCACGCAGCCCGTGGAGTCCAGCTTGCGGTCCGAGATGCAGCGGAAGTTCTTGCTGCAGCCCCCATTGTCCTGGGAACAGTCACGGACAGGCCCAAAGGAGTCAAGGAGGACCTCCAGGCTGTCGAAGGAGGAGGAGGTCATCAGCTCTTCCCTGTGAGGAGGAGGAGGAGGAGGTGTGTCACTGCTCTGATGAGACGGTGCGAACGCGTGCATGACCGTGGCTGCCATGTGGGTTTATCCAGAGCTCAGGTTTCCCTCAGACTGACAGAGAACTGAACGGCAACCAAGCTTTTAGAGGGATGCAGGAGCTACAGAGATGAGAGCTACCTCTGAAGGCTCAATTTTGCAGACACTAAAGAGGGCCAGGTTAAGGGACATACTAATCTCCACCTGAAAAATGTGGGGTGGGGATCCCAGCTCTCATCCACACTTCGGGTTAGTCCTCTCGCTACTAGGATGCATCACCAGTGTATTTGCTGAAATGCCTCCTAAACGTCTCCTAAACACCTTCACCCCACCGTCGCACCTACCTGACCTCCACCGCATCCTCCATCACCGTCATGTCGGTCTTGCACTTGGCCGAGGGGTTGATGGCCAGCTCGGCTGGTGGGATGACGAAGCTCTTGCTCAGTGGCAGCCACATGCCTTCTCCCAGGGTGTAGGTGAACCTGCCAGGCAGAATGGTGAGGGATGGCATGGTGGAAAACACCAAGCCCAGAGCGCTGCCCCTGCCCAAAACCAAGTCCTTGAACCTCCCCCTTACTCCACAGGGGTGCCAGCCTGAGCACAGGCAGATGGGCAGGGTAAGGTGGGGTGGCTCCTCCGAATGCACCCAAATGACCCCCAAAAAGCACACATAATTTAGGTAATTAAATCACAGAATCACAGAATCGTAGTGGTTGGAAGGGACCTCAGAGATCATCAAATCCAACCACAAAAAAAAAACCAACCAAACAAACAAAACAACCCACCACCCACCCCCTAAACACACAACAACAACAACCAAACCAAAACCATCACCCACCCACACAACATCCCACCACAAACCAATAATCTTGGGCACTAGAGCATGCCCTGAAGAGCCATGTCTACACATTTCTTAAATACCTCCAGGGATGGTGACTCCACCACCTCCCTGGGCAGTCCATTCCAATGCCTGACAACCCTTTCAGTAAAAGAAGAAAAAAAAAAGGAACTTCCCTTTGGAAAAGTTGGAGATGCTGGACATCCAGCATCCCACATGGCAGCTGTGGTAGAACCTTCCCAGCTATGCTCGTATGTCCCCAGGAGGTGGCACAGGACAGCTGTCCTCAGCCCTGCCAGCTGGGAGGACCAGACTGCCCATATTCCCTGAGTCATATTTTTCAGCCCCAAAAATGTGCTGATCAGGTTGCCTTTATCCCTTACCGAAAAATCTTGTCGGATGGCTGCTCGCCCAGCACCAAGTCAAAGCCACGCTGGAAGATGGTGTATGGCCAAGGCCTGGAAGAGAAACCCAAGAGCATCACATCCCCAGCACCTCTCACAGTGTAAAATGCTTCCCCTGCTTAGCCCCTAACTCACGTGCAGAGAGATCCTGGGATAAGACAGCTCAAACCAAGCCAGGACAAGGTGGTAAAGTAGCCCCACATCCAAGATCTTCATTTTGGAGTCCCTACAACATCAGATCCCCACCCCACACCCAACCTGCCAACGGGTCAGTGGTGTACCGCATCCTTAATTTTGGGGTATGACCTGCTCCAGTCTCCCCTGTCCACCCAGCACCCACAAGTGTCACCCTTCTGCACACTCAGGTACCGCCCACCCAGCTCCTGTTTTAGAAATTTGCATCACAGCCATCAAATGGCAAAAACAACAACAAAAAAACCACACACCAAAAAAAAACCAACGCAAAACACAGCTGAACCCTCTCTCTGCAAGGCTTTTGCAAGGGAACATGTCAGGTCTGGGGCCACAGCTTTACCACCTGCCTTATTCCCCTTGGGTATCACTGCTTCAGGAGGGGATCTCAGAAAGTCTCAGCCCTCGCAGGACTTTGGAAAGGGTGCTGGAAGAAAAGTTGGAAGTTTGGAGCCAAGAAGGAGGCTGAAGAGCTGGTGGCCCCATCTCCTCCATCCCTGCTGCCCTTGGTAGCACAGGGTGATGTGCAACCACAACTCTGGTTGCTCTTCAGTGGGATGGCCATGACAATGACACCCCAGGCTGTGGAATCCTCTCAGCACAGCCCAGCTGGCAGAGCATCGCTTGCAGGGTGAGGCTGATAAAGCAGAGCAAGGGGAGGCACAGAGACCCAACCGTAGTGGGCTTTGAATCAGGCAACAAGAACCCTCCTCCCAGACCCTAAAGCTCAAAATCCCCTTTGCAAGAGCCGAGAGCTGGAGAGAGAAAGAGATTTTCCATCCCGTCGCGTTGCTGCTGTTAAAATTCAGGGTGAGAGCATCGGGTGCTGCTGACAAGCCCAGGGATTTTCTCCAGAGGCAATTACAGCTCTCCTGCACAAGCACTTTAATTTCTAATCTGAAGTTATTTCAGCAAGGACAAAAAAAAAAAAAAAGGCACAAAAAAAATATATTTTTTTTTTTCTGATTGCAGGGATTAGAGCGCGCCGTCTCATTTCCTGGCCGGGATACAATGCCACTTCCCCGTCCGGCTGTCTGGGAGCAGGGGATTACATCCAGCACGCAGACTGGATTGCCCTGAACGAGATGGGTTTTATTTTTCCTTCTCAGGAGCACGCCAGGCAGGGAACAAAAGCAGAGGTGAGGTATTGTTCCCCATGAGGCGAAAGGCTGAGGTGGAAAAGCAGGTGTGAAGATCTGCTCCTGCTGGAAGTGAAGCTCAGCCACAGGGCAAGGGCTGGAGAGGAGAGGTGGCTGCTGGACCCATGGGTGCTGATGCACCTGGGATGTTCAGGCAGTGGGGTTGGACCTCCTTGGGAGATGGAGTCAGTGCCCACGCCAGGTTGCACCCATCCATCCAGGGTGCAATTTCCAACCGCGGCTAAAATTCCTGTGACGGAGACTTTGAGCCGGGAAGAGGTTTCCATGCTCCAGGAAGGGACAGCGTGACATCTCCTTAGCCTGCCTTACTTTGCCTCTGCTCAAGGACAAAATCAGCCTGTTTACAGAATCACAGAATCACAGAATCACAGCCTGCCTTACTTTGCCTCTGCTCAGGGACAAAATCAGCCTGTTTATAGAATCACAGAATCGTAGTGGTTGGAAGGGAACACCACCCATCCCCTAAACACACAACAACAACAACCAAACCAAAACCATCACCCACCCACACAACATCCCACCACAAACCAATAATCTTGGGCACTAGAGCATGCCCTGAAGAGCCATGTCTACACGTTTCTTAAATACCTCCAGGGATGGTGACTCCACCACCTCCCTGGGCAGTCCATTCCAATGCCTGACAACCCTTTCAGTAAAGAAATGTTTCCTAATATCCAACCTGAACTTCCTCTGGTGCAACTTGAAGCCATTACCCCTTGTCCTATCGTCTGTAACTTGGAAGAAGAGACCAACCCCTGCCTCTCTACAGCCTCCTTTCAGGTACTTGTACAGAGCGATAAGGTCTCCCCTCAGTCTCCTCTTCCCCAGACTGAACACCCCCAGCTCCCTCAGCCTCTCCTCGTAAGACCTGTGCTCCAGACCCCTCACCAGCTTCGTTGCCCTGTTAAAAGGAAGGTTCAGCCTTTAGCTATGTGCCTATGTGATAGGGGACAACCACTGCTGCCAGGCACCACTGAGCCTGCAAGGATATGGTACCTTCGGCAGGGAAGCCCTGGGATGGTCTCCATGTAAGACCTCCAGCTCAACAAGAGTCACTTCTGCATCCTCATCTCTGGAGGAAGCTCTCCAGGAGCCCAGCACCAACATTTCCACCCACAGACCCTTGCTGACTCGTGCCTTCTGCTGCAGAGGACGGGGTGCGATCTCCTCCCCCAGGCACACCTCACCTCCTCCATCCCTGCCTTTTCACCCCTGTGTTTCTGCTGCCGTTTCACACCCTCCTTCCTCTCCCGTGCACACAAGCACGTGCCCAAACGGCTGTCTCCCTCCCTGCTTCCTGTGGTCACTGGAGGCACCTCGCTGCTCTGATTTTTGTTGCTCTTGGCAGGTATTTTGGTTGCACGGTCTTCAGAGCTCACAAAGGAAAGCGGGACTGATCAGAGGCAGCTCTGTGCCTGATTAGGCTGGATTAAATGGGCCAGAAATGACAGGTCTCAGGTCCCTGCAAGCCTTGGCACTCAGGTAGGCATCTGAAACAACAGAACGGGGGATCACCAGGGCCGCTGAGAACCAGCAAACTCTCCTCACTCAGTCAGCAAGTTCCCACAGCCAAAGTGTTGCCAATGCATCCCCAGGATGATCTTCAGGTCTGTTTGCTTTTTCCAGCTGGGCCATCAGCTAGACTTTGCTCCCCATCCAGGTCTGAGCAGAAGGTCTCAAAACACCAGCTAAGGCCTCCAGAACCTGCTTCTGGGGATGCTCGG